TGTTAACTGTGCCATGGATGAAATAGTCAGTCTTGAAGTCTATACTCAGAGCCAAAGAGTCATTCCAGAACAGCCAGATAACACCACTAAAACCCCCTGCTTCCACGAATTCCATATTGCGCCAACCCAAGCATCGGCTTATTGAAAGTGCTTTATTAGATTTTTGTCTTGGTTTTAGGAGTGCTATGAGAGTCAACTAATATCGAGACCGAATGTCACACAGAAACCGGCTGAAAACTTTGCTTCCTGCTCCTCATGAGTTCCATATCAATAGTTTTCTATCCATAACAACTGAAGGTAATTAGGTGACCACGCACGACCCAAGATTGTCATACTTCTTTGGGCATGGGTTTAACCATCCCCCCATTATGTTCAACAGTAGTATGAAGCACACCCTCTGATAAAGGATTTGATCTAATAATAAAACCTGCTCCATTGCTTGTGCCAGGATCTAAGAGGTTGACTGTTCCGATGAGGAAGCTAGCAGATTTGGCGTGAAGTCGTTTAAGGTTGGGTGGAGTGGCAACTGTTTGGGTTCATGAGAGAGAGAAGTCTCCACTTCCATGCTGACTTGGTGGGTTGATGGTTGACTGGTGGAATCTGCATGCTTTTTAGATAGGTCCACATGATTTTTAATTCGTATATATTCCTCCATTGGGCTAACTCTTCCTTTGTTTTTGTCCGCTTCTTTCCCCATGGGCTCAGCTCTAACCACTAGCCCACTTTTACTCCCATTCTGTTGGGCACGTAATTGACCTCCTCTAGTACGAGATTTGGAATCATGTGGGAATCTGTTATTAATTGTGATTTCATTCGACGTGATTTTTGCTTGATTTGTGTTCCCTATAGTCATCTGCTCATCATTATCATCCGCTATTAATGTTGTGAATCTGGATCCCTTGATGCTTGGGATCTTCTTATCCTTTGGGTCTTGCATCTCAATCTTACTGTTTTTAGGGTTTCGATCAGGTCAGCGACTATTGCGACGTGCTTTTGGAACCATCCAACCACTGTACAGGGTATCACCGTTCTCCGCGGTCAGCGACGCACCCATCATGGACTTCGTGACATGTTGGCTTGCACCTCATGTGCCCTCTATTGCAGTTGATCGACAGGGACAATGGTCAGCATCGTGACCATATTTACCACAACCGAAACAGATTAGGTATAGCCCCTCGTACATTATCTTCTTCTCTTTCCCATTAATCAAGATGGCTGGTAGTAGAGGTTTGTTCAGATCAAGCCCGATACACAGCCTCGCAAAACGACCTTTGGAGCAAGAGAGGGTGTTTTTATCCACCCTAAGGATCGTGCCAATTTGACTACCCACCACGTACAGAATCCCCATGTCATAGTAATCCATTAGAAACTTTGGTATCCTTACCCAGGCCGCAACTTTCGACACCTCTTCTTCATATGGATCAAAGTCTGGCTTCCATGGTTGTACAGTTAAATAATGACCCAGAATAAGCCAAGGTCCACCCGTAAGAGCATATTCGTAGTCATTTGTGTGAGTAAAATTAATAATAAAGTAACCCGACCCAATCTCTAAGGTTTTGACGTCCCCATTGAAGCCCCCTAGTTTTTGTAATTTTTTCCTAGGTATTCTTCCCGGACCATTGCCCTAGTAGTCTAACGATCAAGGAAAGTCTCCATTTTTTTAGCTAGCTTCTTTTTGAACTCCGGCATCACTGTGACGTTAGGGCCCCTCATTGTTTGTTCAACCCTAACCCTGCTCCTCCGGCCTTCATCAAACCACCAAGCTTCCTCTTCCTCTTCATCACAGCTAATCCCATCGTAATTTGACAAGCAGGCTTGATGATAGGATTTCTTATGTGGCTCAGCCTTCCTTGAGTCCCTTGATTAATATGCAACGTCAGGGCATGCATCTTCAGCCATCTAGTCTTCCTCACGATGGACCACTACATGCTCATTCCCTATTGCCAGGTCTCCCATTCTGACCTTTTTCCGACTCCTCTCCAGTGCACCAGTTTCCTCACTTGACGGTGGAGCAGCACCCTTACCACTCGTGTTTTCGCTCATTCTCTCTGTCACAAGTCCAGTCAACATATATATTTAGTTATAAAGTAAATTACAGCCCCTCTCAGTTTTTTTTTTTTTTTTTGGCCTGAGCATCCCTCCCCAGTTTAAAGCTTATGAATAGATATTTTAGCTTGCGTTAATAGTGCGGTAACTTAATTTGTTCTTAGTATCTGATCATATAATCATAGTCTTTACATATGTGTACAATTACCATGACTAGGATCATGTCTTTTCTGCGTAGTGGAGGGAGAACATTTCCAGGCCTTCGAAGAGACCCCAAAAAAAAAAATGATCAGTTGATCAGTTCAAAAGAATTTAAACAAGGATACCAATTGTGATATAATTTTAGCCCGCGTTAACTTATTTGTGAAAGTTGATCGGGATAGGGTATTGTTATTAATATACTCTACCGGTTTTTAATATAGGAGTTAATTAGAAAGTTGATGTTGGTTCTATATATAAAACTTGTATTTATCAATTTTTCTTAAATTAACCTTATTAATATTTCCCAACAATAATCATGTAGAAAAAAGAGGGAGAAAATTAAGGAAATTGCTTGAGGTATTTTATAAAAAAAATTATATTAACTAATTTAACTAGCATTTTTAATCTACTCAAATTAATTAATTATGTTTTATATTAAAAACCAAATTAATATGTATTTTTGAGCTTGCACTTTAAGGCTGTTTGATTTCTAATTGTAGTTAGACCTAGTAATAGCTAGAGTTGGTAATATGAGTTGAATCCGCGGGTTCAACCCGCCAACCCATAAAAAATGACGCATTAGGGTTGACTAAAAGCAACCCATCAATAAACAAGCCTTTTTAATTCGTATTGCCAGGCCTACAGTCGGCCACGGGTTAGCCCACCTAACCCACATCTTTTTTTTTTTAAATTTTTAATTGTTATAATTATATTATTATATATTATATCCTATCTAAAAAATTAAAAAATACCTATATAATTTATTTGGTGCTTTCAATCAAATATTTCAAGGAAAAACAAAAATTTTATTATTATTCTTGGATATTGTATAAGAAAAAAATATTAAAATGTAAAAAGAATTCAAAAATAAATAAATAAATATGTGTTGGTAGGTCAGCCCACCAACCTAACTTTGGCGGGTTAGGGTTGGTTAAAAACCAGCTCATCTTCAAACGAGCTTTTTCAGCCCGACTCATATAAGTTCAAGCCGGTTGCGGGTTGACCCATATTGTCAGCCTTAATAATAGCAATTCACATTCACGTCAAAACCTATAGATCAATAAATAGATGCTTTCTTGATTTATGTTGAGATGTTATCCCAGATTGCCTGTTAGGTTGTCTTCTACCATTGATAATCTGTGCTGTGTCTTTATCGTACGACAAGTGAAAAATGGGAGCATCTTTGTATGACCTGTATTGTAAAGAGACTTTTAAAAAATGTTTATTCTATTCGCAGTAAGACCCGTGATCTCAATTTAATTATACCAAAGCTATTTACTTCTTGTTTGCTCAGATTTACCACCAGTCCTCTGTTTCGGCAGCAAGCTGAAATCCACCTTTATAATTGCATCCAGCCAAAAATATTTTTAAAAATTACTTTTTTTTAAAATCAAAACAAATTTTTTATATATTTACTTCGTATGTTGTATAATTATTTTTAAAATCATGATTTAATTTCTATCTAAATATCTACTAAAATTAATACTACTGCTACTGTTTTAAACAACACGAGCATTTCATGTAAAGAACTGGGAATTAAAAGGGAATAACTAATTAACACCAACATTTGATGCGTCACAACTCACAGCTACAGCCACTAATGTTGACTCTATGTCTCCTGGTTTTAATTAATTATTCATTAAATTAAAAAGCACACATCGCGTGTGTACACGTTCGTCTTACGTAAGTTATAGAAAGCCAGTATAATTTGTTTCTGGGCGAAATGTCCAACATAATTTAACCATATCATGCCAATGGCTGTTGCGTCTGAGATAAGCTAGTAAGCTGTGTAAAATCAGCCAAATATATACCTGCGTAGTGTGGGGTAAAATCTTTTTTTTTTTTTGGGGTAATATACTATGAACAACAAATTATCTTTTCTTATTTACAAGCATCAACCCAAAATTAAATGTCCAACTATATCCAATACATCACGAGGAGGAAAAGACTGGCGATAGCATAGAAACGAATTATAGGAGGTTAAATCTTAAATCTAGTAATTAAGATAGCACTCTTCGGCTGGCGGTTTTTGGGAGGGAGCAACTACTCCCCTTCTCTTGTTTGGTTAGTCTTAAAAATTTGTTAACTACCATATCAGCTCCTTAATATAAGAGTGAATTGATTAATTTGAGTAAGTTAAAAAAGTTTGTTAAGTTAGTTATTTGTAATACTCCTCCGGTCCTTAATATAATATCTATTTAACTAATTTAATTAGATTAAGGAAGTTAGGTGAGTTAATTAATTATAAAAAATATGACATGTTTTTTGTAAAACATTATAATCATCTTTCTTAATATTCTTCTTTCTTCTTCTACTTGATTATGATTGATGGAGTATCCATAAGGATAATTTAGGAAAAATAGATAAATATAAGAAATAGGTCTTATATTTCGAATCAAAATCAACTCAATAATTAATTCATATATTAAGAACTGGAGAAATAAATAGGTACCATCTTTCTTAAAATACCCTTATTAATCAAATATATTAGTTTCTAAAATGATATTATAATCTTTCAAATAAGAAAGTTTTGATAATTACAAAATTATAATATTATATATTAAACATCAATTATAATCATATTTTCTTAATTCAACATTTTACAAAGTTTGCAAAGACCCATCAACAACTTAATCTAAATGGGGTAGGACGTAATATTAAAATCTCTTTCCTTAGTCCTTTCTTCTCCTCCTTTAAAGCAAACAGAAACACAAACAAGCATGGGAAAGATTCAAACAAGAAGAGAAATTGAATCACAAGGAAGCATTGGTAGAATCTGCTTCCTCTTGCAGCTGTAATAGCCGTTCAAGTTGAACTTCAACATCTCCCATGTCGGGCCTCTCATTATCATCCTCACTCAAGCAACTCTCTGCAATGTCCATATACAATTTCGAGCACTCTGCTGCTATTTGTCCCACCAAAGTCTCATCAATAATTCCCTCAGCTCTTCCTGTTCCTGCCAAATGACGTACTTTCTCAACCAAGCTCAGCGTGAATTGGAAAAAATCTGCAGTATTATATTCTCAAGTTGACGCCCCTCAAGCTCGCTGATTTGAGATAAAGTCTTTCCGCAAATGAGTTCTGACAAAACTACTCCGAATGAATAAACGTCGCATTCGTACGTGACGTTACTGCCGCCGAAGCACTCCGGAGCTATGTATCCCCTAGGGCCCTTGACCGATTCCAGAGTGAGGGGTTTCATATCCTTTGCTGAAAACTTGGGTCCTCTTAGAGAGAACCCGAAATAGGAGAGTTTGGGAACCCAGTTCTCGCCCAAAAGAATGCAAGCCGATATTATATGGCGATGAATGATGATGCGTTTGGTTCCGGAGTGAAGGTAGTGTAATCCACGCGCCACTCCGATGCTGATTTCCAGCCTCTTCTTCCACCAGAACGTCGGCGGCTTGCTCTCAAGTAGATCCCGCAGTGATCCGTTTGGGGCATGCTCATAGACCACAATCATTTCATTTTTATCGTCGCAGAATCGAACCAGAGACAGCAGATTCGGGTGGTGGAGCTGGCACATGAACACGACGTCGTTCTTGTACAGAGTGAGACCGTCTGAGGAAATCGATGATCGGGTTCCCAGACGCTTCACTGCAATATCTTTCAGTTGGCCGTTGATGGAGATGGAGCCCTTGTACGCCGGACCATGCCGGCCTTGGCCGAGAAAGTGGCTTTCGTGGAAGTCGTTGGTGGATTTTCGAAGCTGGGCGAGAGAAAAGCGGTGGCAGAGATATTCTACTGAAGTGGAAGGTTGTTTCTTAGATGTTGAAGAAGAGCCTCCGAAGCAGTTGAGAAGGATTCCCATTCCCAGAAACGTCGCCTCGCAGCTGCGTCTTGGATTTGCAAATGCTGTGAGGAGACGAGAATATGGTAGACATATAAAAGATACAAGACATTGACATTGAAATGCGTGATCCGCGTCCTGTAGAGCCCAGCGTCGTCTTCATTGTCATACAAAACTAAGGATGCCACAGTACAATAATATTGTACTCCTTCCCATGCTTATTATAAATTTTAAATTAATTGGGGAATAATAAAAAATTGCTATCTGGAGCTCAGCGTCGTTGTCATAAGTTTCATGGATAGAGTCCCTCCACTAAATCCATAGAGAATATTTGCTGAATTAATTTGACTTTTACTCCGTAGAAGATATCAATTTATTTTTTCCTTCATATTTATCTATTTTTTCTGTCTTTATAATAATAATAATTCTAACTAATATATTTAATTAGTGAAGATATTTTCTATAAGTCTAACTACATATTTTTGCAAAAAAAAGAAAAGAAAAGAAAAGAAAAGAAATTCAAGCTATATATATACTACTTCCGATACTTAATATAAGAGCTCGTTTGACTTTCAGTTTGGTTCTAAATTTAAAACTCCAATTCACTTTATTTTTTATATTTATCCATTTTTTCAATATAGTCCTTGTAATAGTTATACATATTAAATGTTTCATCAAATAGTAATTCAAGGTAATATATATTATTGGCAAGGATATCTTAAAAAAAAATAATAACTATTTATTATATGTAACTAACTTGATAAATTTTCTTAATCTATCCAAATTAATGAACTAGTGCTTATATTAAAGACTGGAGGTAGTATTAATTAGTAGTAGCAATCACATTCTTTCTCTAATAAGAATAAAATAGATATCAATTTAAAACTTATTTGATAATTTGACTACATTTTTTTATTTGTGAAAAAAACTTAACTAATGTCTCATATAATGGACCGGAGGGAGTATTAACGATGCACCACTGCAATGCGTCCTTTTATGCCCACCAGGGAACATATATACGTTTAATGTGTCACTAACTTGACTAATGTCATATTCTTTTAATGAACTCTAACATTGCCTACTCTTCCTTTTTCCAATACAATTAGGAGAGAATTCAAAGAAGGAATTTAATTATCAAAAAATTTTAATGATAAGTGACCAGTATAAAAGTATTGTTATTACCTACTCTGAAACTTGTTATTATATACGTTTTAGTTGTTAATAAATTTTTGGATATAATTGAATCCCTTTCTTGGGATTCGACTGTAATTCTCCCGACAAATAACTTTACTTTTTGTACGGACGTATACGTTTAATATGTCACTAAACTTCACGGTAAAAGTTAATAGTCATGCCTCATAATAATATGCTAAATCAAACGAAACAGAGACACAAACAAGTATGGCGGAAGCTTCAAGCAATTGCCAACATTCTCCTCCTATTTCTCCCGCCAAACTCTCATCATCAACAACTCCCTCATTATTTCTTGTTCCTGCCAAATCGCGTACTTTCTTAGCTACGCTCCACGTAAATTGGAAAAAATCTGCAGTGTTCTCAACTTGACGCCCCTCATGCTCACTGATTTGGGATAAAGTTTCCGCGGATGAGTTATAATAAAACTACTCCAAATGAATTGATGTCACATTACTCCCACCATAGCACTCAGGAGCTGTGTATACGTCATTAGGGCGCTTGAGGGATTCCGACTTGAGGGGTCTCATATCCTTCGCTGAAAAAAGAGAGAGAAAAAGTTACTCTAGACCTATAAAATAGAGCCTATACATACAGCGGCTCATTAACACTCTGCACCAAGAGAGAAAAAGTTACTCTAGACCTGCAAAATAGAGCCTATACATACAGAGGCTCATTAACACTCTGCATCAAGCTTTTCACTTTATTATTATCCAAAACCAAGATGTAGTAGCTTTCGACAATCCTCTCTCTTCTTTTTTAAAATTTTGCTTTTGCATTTTTCTCTTTTCCTTTCCTCTCTCTTTCTCTCTGAAAGACTCACTTCTTCAATGGGTTTCAATGGGTTTCAGCAAGCAAAACTTAGCACAGACGTGGCTCTCTATGAAAACAATCGGCAAGTTACTCTCTTATTCTTTATCTCTCCTTCTGGTCCTGCTCTTCCTCCTCCTTACTTTTCTTCTCAAATCTGATATGTTTTACTGTGACTCTCCTCCTTTTCCTTTTCTTCCTTCCTGAGACATGAAAAAAAGAAAAAACGGGAAACTCAATTCAGCCAGCGGTTACCTGTTTTAAAACTGATTTTTACTGGTTTAACCTATTTGTTGCCGGTTCGTTTCATATCCGATCTAACAAGCAAACCAAACCAAACTAGTTTTTCAGTTGAATCGATCAGTCTAGCCCGGTTTTTTTTACCTTGACTATAACCAAGATATCAAGAGATGGAAAAGACTGATAATAATATAGAAATAAATTATGAGAGGTTAAATTTTAAGAATCTAGTAAGGAACGATAGGATAAAATTTCACTATTTTCTCATTAGACACTTCGATAAATTTTAATATAGATATATTGGTGTTTCTAAAATGTTATTACAATCCTTCAAATAAGAAAGTTTTGATAATTACAAAATTATAATTTTATATATTAAATATCAATTATAATCATATTTTTTTATTCAACATCTTGCAAATTTTGCAAAGAGCCATCAACAGCTAATCTAAATGGGGTAGGACGTAATATTAAAATCTCTTTCCTTAGTCTTTCTTCTCCTCCTTTAAAGCCAACCGAAACACAAACAAGTATGGAAAAGATTCAAACAAGAGAAATTAAATCACAAGGAAGCATTGTTAGAATCTGCTTCCTCTTGCAGCTGTAATAGCCGTTCAAGTTGAACTTCAACATCTCCCATGTCGGGCCTCTCATTATCATCCTCACTCAAGCAACTCTCTGCAATGTCCAAATACAATTTCGAGCACTCTGCTGCTATTTGTCCCACCAAAGTGTCATCAATAATTCCCTCAGCTCTTCCTGTTCCCGCCCAATTACGTACTTTCTCAACCAAGCTCAGCGTGAATCGGAAAAAATCTGCAGTATTCTCAACCTGACGCCCCTCAAGCTCACTGATTTGAGATAAAGTCTTTCCGCAAATGAGTTCTAACAAAACTACTCCAAATGAATAAACGTCGCATTTGTATGTGACGTTACTGCCGCCGAAGCACTCCGGAGATATGTATCCCTTAGGGCCCTCGACCGATTCCAGACTGAGGGGTTTCATATCCTTTGCTGAAAACTTGTGTCCTCTTAGAGAGAACCCGAAATAGGAGAGTTTGGGAACCCAGTTCTCGCCCAAAAGAATGCAAGCCGATATTATATGGCGATGAATGATGATGCGTTTAGTTCCAGAGTGAAGGTAGTGCAGTCCACGCGCCACTCCAATGCTGATTTCCAGCCTCTTCTTCCACCATAACGTGGGCGGCTTGCTCCCAAGTAGATCCCGGAGTGATCCGTTTTTGGGGCATGCTCATACACCACAATCATTTCATTTTTATCGTCGCAGAATCCAACCAGAGGCTGCAGATTCGGGTGGTGGAGCTGGCTCATAAACAGGACGTCGTTCTTGTACAGAGCGAGACCTTTTGAGGAACCGGCTCCCAGACGCTTCACTGTAATATCTTTCAGTTGGCCGTTGATGGAGATGGAGCCCCTGTACACCGGACCATGCTGGCCTTGGCGCAGAAAGTGGCTTTCGCTGAAGTCATTGGTGGATTTTCGAAGCTGGGCGAGAGAAAAGCGCTGGCAGAGATATTCCACTGAAGTGGAAGGTTGCTTCCTAGATGTTGAAGTAGAGCCTCCGAAGCAGTTGAGAAGGATCCCATTCCCAGAAACGTCGCCTCGCAGCTACGTAATTGGATTTGCAAGTGCTGTGAGGAGACGAGAATGTAGGAGACATAAAAGATACGAGACACAGACTGAGAAAGTCCTTGATCCGCGTTTTGTAGAGCCCAGCGTCGTTTCCATGAAGTTTCACGGATAGAGTCCCTCTACTTAATTCACAGAGAATATTAGTACTCCTTCCCTTGGGCTTTCTTTCGTAGCGTAATTTATAGTATAAAAAACTCTTATATTTAGAACTAGAAGAGTAATAATTAAAAAGCTCACATCACATGTGGCGTCTTAGCTCTGGTCCTCCTCCATGCGTTCTGACGATAGATATGCCGCCATTGTTGAAGCCCAGCTTCTCTTCTTTGTAGCAAGCATCTGTTGTGAAATAATGCAATATGTGTGTCAAATAAAGTCCCACATGGGAAAGATGAGAAGAAGTCTAAGTGTATAAATGAGATCAAGCATCCTTGGGGGGGTAAATGGGCCAAGAGGGAAGTGGGCCTCGCGCACACAACAACAGGCCACCAGGAGGGAAACGCAGTTGTAAACCAGCGATTTCTCCCCCTGCGCGTGAATTAAACGCGGTAAAGCCTCATTTTACGAAAATTATTTTAGACTTTGTTGAATATTTTTTAATAAAATTATGCTTACCAGAAAAGCCTTATTTTGGACCTGTTAAAAGTCAAGAGGCTTACTGTTTCGTTTTGTGGCCGACCGGACGCATCTCGCGGGGTGTAGGCGAACGTTGTGTGCACCAACGTTCGCGTCGTTCCGTCTCCAACGGAACCTTACGTTACTTCGGTCGTACCCGCTCGGCGAAACAGAGGGATGCGTCCTCTGGGGATGTGGCCATTCGCGCCTATATAAGGGACTGTCCAGGCAGCGTGAAGGGACACTGTTCCATCCTCTTCCCCTTCTCTCCCGCTGTGTTTCCTGTTACAATCGCTTTCGCTGTTCTGCTACCTTGCTTCGCAGGAAGGGTTCGTTTGATCCTGGGGAGTGCCGCTGCCTGTTACACCGAGGGGCTCCGGAATATCTCTCAAGGACAGTGTCCTTGTGACGCGACTCGAACCGGATTTGCTGTTCCTCCTTTGCTGCCGCCAACAATCTTGAGAGATATCCTGAACAATGGCTGCAAACAACGACGCTGCTGGCTCCAGTGCTGTTCCTGTCAGCGTTCCCCTGAACGTCCCGGCAGCCATACCGCTTCCTAGGCCATTCCCTGACACATCCAAGATAGAAATGTTCGATGGAAGCAACTTTAGGCGGTGGCAAGAACGTGTCTACACAATTCTGGACATGCATGGAGTTGTCAATGCGCTAACTCAATCAGAACCTGCTGCAGATGCTGATCAAGGACAGAAGGATATGTGGCACCAGGCCAACAAAGTATGCAGGCACACCTTGATCAGTACACTCTCTAATGATCTGTTTGACATCTACAGCGTCTACAAAGAGGCCAAGCAAATATGGGAATCATTGGTTCTCAAATATACTGCTGAGGACGCTGGGAAGCAGAAATTTGTGGTCGGAAACTTCTATAGGTGGGAGATGACCGATGACAAAGACATCAAGCTTCAAATCAATGAATACCACAAATTACTGGAGGAACTTCGGGCTGAAAAGATCAATCTTCCTGACGAGTTCATCGCTGGGGTCCTGATTGAAAAGCTACCAACCTCATGGAACAACTACAAACAACAACTCAAGCATAAACAGAAACAATTGTCGCTTACCGGCTTGATCACTCACATCATCATTGAAGATACCAACAGAAGGACAATACAAGCAGCGAAAGAGAAAGAGACGGCTGCCAAAGCAAACCTAGTGGAAACAAAACCACGCAACAAGAGGTACGACCCTAACTCAAAGAAACAGAAAAATAAGAAACCTGATTACAAACCCAAAGGCACTAACTCCAAATTCAAGAAGAAGGGCAATTGTTTTGTTTGTGGCAAACCTGGACATTATGCAGCACAGTGCAGGAAGAGGGCTAAGGGAAGTTTTCAAAAGGATGAAAATCCTCCCAAGCCAAATGTGAATTTGGTTGAAGGAGATGACAGCGACAATGATGAAGTAATTGCTGCAATGCTTTCTCAGGCCCTCCTCATCTCTGATGTGAGAAAATGGGTGGTAGACTCTGGGGCTACCAAGCACATATGTGCAAACAGGGAAATGTATACCTCCTTCGAAGAAGGGGAAGATCAAATTTATCTCGCTGACTCCCGAACTGCAAAGGTTCAGGGAAAGGGAAAAGTGGTGCTGAAACTCACATCTGGGAAGTCTCTAGTGCTAAATGATGTTCTGTACGTGCCCGATATGAGAGCAAATTTAATTTCTGTGGCTCTCTTGGGAAAGGCTGGGGTGAAAGTGTCATTTGAGTCTGACAAAATTGTGATGACAAAGAACAATGTTCTTGTGGGGAAGGGTTACTGTAATCAAGGTCTCTTTGTACTGAGTGTCGATATGAATGATAATGCATCTTCTTCTGTTTACTTGGTTGATTCTTATGATCTATGGCATGCTAGATTAGGGCATATTAATAGGAAATACATCAAAAGGTTGCAACACCTTAAATTAATTTCTGAAACTAAAAGTAATAATATTGGTAAATGCGAAATTTGTGCAGAAACCAAAATGACGAAAAAATCACATTTTCCTACACAAAGAGAGACTGAGTTATTGTCATTAATACATACTGATTTAGGTGATTTGAAACAAACAGAGACTAGAGGTGGTAAAAGATACTATATCACTTTCATTGATGATTATTCTAGATACACTAGGGTGTACCTGTTAAGAAATAAAGATGAAGCCTTTGAAAAATTTATCTTATATAAGGCAGAGGTAGAAAATCAACTAAATAGGAAAATTAAAAGAGTTAGATCTGATAGAGGAGGAGAATATTTATTACTAAATGATTTTTGTGAAAAAGAGGGAATAATACATGAAGTAACACCTCCTTACTCACCTGAATCTAATGGAGTTGCAGAAAGGAAAAATAGAACTTTAAAAGAGATGATGAATGCTTTGCTTGTGAGTTCTGGTGCACCTGATAACTTATGGGGTGAAGCCTTGTTATCTGCTTGCTTTTTACAAAATAGAATACCTCATAGGAAAACTAACAAAACACCTTATGAGTTGTGGAAAGGTTTTGTACCTAATCTTAAATATTTGAAAGTGTGGGGGTGCCTTGCAAAAGTTTTATTGCCTGATTTTAAGAAAAGGAAAATTGGTTCTAAAACTGTTGACTGTATGTTTATTGGTTATGCTCAACAAAGTGCTGCTTATCGTTTTTTAGTTTTGAACCAAAACACAATTACTGAAACAAAGGATGCTGAATTTTTTGAAAACATTTTTCCATTAAAAGTTGAGCATATTCCCAAAGGTGTTGAAAATCCTTCTGCCTCTTTCCAAGAAAAAACAAATCAAGTTTTGACTGAAGAATTACGGAGAAGTAAAAGACAGAGAAAGGAAACATCCTTTGGAGATGATTTTTACACATTTTTAGTACAAAATGAACCTAGAAACTTTTATGAAGCAATCTCTTCTCCGGATGCAGAGCTTTGGAAAGAAGCAATTAAAGATGAAATAGACTCCTTAAATAAAAATAAAACTTGGGTTTTGGTAGACTTGCCTTCAGGAGCAAAACCTATAGGTTGCAAATGGGTCTTTAGGAAAAAATATTTTCCTGATGGAACCATAGATAAATACAAAGCACGGCTTGTAGCTAAGGGTTTTACCCAAAAGGAAAATATTGATTATTTTGATACATTCTCTCCTGTTACAAGGATATCATCTGTTAGAATCCTTATTGCTTTAGCATCAATTCATAAGCTATTTATACATCAAATGGATGTCAAAACAGCATTTCTAAATGGTGATTTAGAAGAGGAAATTTATATGGTACAACCTGAAGGGTGTGCTGTTCCTGGGCAAGAAAACAAAGTATGTAAGTTAGTAAAATCTCTATATGGCTTAAAACAAGCACCCAAACAATGGCATGAGAAGTTAGATCAAGTTTTAATGAGTGGTGGTTTCTCTACTGTCGAAGTAGAAAGATGTGTTTATACCAAAGTTATGAATAATGATTGTGTGATTATTTGTTTATATGTGGATGATATGCTTATTTTTGGAACCAGTATGAATGTGGTGCTTGAAACAAAAATGTTTCTTAATTCAAATTTTGATATGAAAGATCTGGGTGAAGCAAAAATAATCCTAGGTGTTAAAATCACAAGAAATGAAAATGGCATCTTACTTTCTCAGGAACATTATGTTGAGAAAATACTGAGAAAGTTTGAACATTATGATGAAACTCCTTTGAGTACCCCTTATGATGCTAGTGTGCATCTAAAGAAGCATAAAGGAGATCCGATTGCTCAATCTATGTATGCACAGATTATTGGGAGTCTGTTGCACTTGATGAATTATACCAGGCCAGACATAGCATATGCTGTGTGCAGATTGAGCAGATATACTCACTGTCCAGGCAGTGAACATTGGGAAGCTCTGAAGAGATTATTACGATATCTGAAGGGTACCATGAATTATGGTATACTATATAGTGGATTTCCCGCTGTATTAGAAGGATACAGTGATGCTAATTGGATCTCAGATTCAGACGAGACAAAGTCCACTAGCGGTTATGTTTTTACATTTGGTGGTGGAGCTGTCACTTGGAAGTCAGCCAAACAAAGCATCATAACTCGATCCTCAAGGGATTCTGAGTTAGTTGCTATGGAATTGGCTGGTACAGAGGCTGAGTGGTTGAAAAACTTCTTAGCAAATATCCCATTGGGAGACAAGCCAACGCCATCAATATCATTACACTGTGATAACCAGGCATCAATAGCCACGGCCAAAAATAAAACATTTAATGGCAAAAGCAGACACATTCGATTGAGACACAATATTTTAAGGCAGCTGCTAAAGGACGAGGTGATCTCAATCGATTTTGTGAGGTCAGAAATGAACCTAGCAGATCCATTAACAAAACCCCTAGGGAGGAAACAAATTATCGAAACATCGAGGGGAATGGGACTAAAGCCAGTATGATTACGACAGCGATGGCAACCCAACCTTTGTGATTGGTGATCCCATGAAGAAGGTTCAATGGGTAAGAACAAGTCGCTCGTTAGTACTGCTAGCACTAAACCAAAATTACTAGTCCCTTCCTATGATGTGTGAGAAAGTGCTAGATTGCATATTGGAGGGTTGAGCAAAGCTCTTAATGATTTCAAATCCTACGGGATGGTGTATTCAGTGCAGGTACACTTAAATGAAATCACCTCTACGAATGTGGAGTGGGGCCGCTCCTATGAGATCATGGCAAAATCTCTAGAGCATTCGTTATGCACCAGGCACGCGCACGGCCGTTATAACGCGCAAAACCGTCGTTAACAGCGGAAATGTGGGGGTATAATCTGACTTTTAATGCCTCTAGTACACGCCGAAGAGATGACAGTTCATAGAAGCAGGCTTCACTGGCATCTCTGTGTACTAAGTGTTATCAGTCTAGGTCTAGTTCATAGTCGCAAGAACCACTAGATACAATGATTATACCCATGTGTGTAACTCTGGCTCTTTATTTGACACATGTGGGGGATTGTTGTGAAATAATGCAATATGTGTGTCAAATAAAGTCCCACATGGGAAAGATGAGAAGAAGTCTAAGTGTATAAATGAGATCAAGCATCCTTGGGGGGGTAAATGGGCCAAGAGGGAAGTGGGCCTCGCGCACACAACAACAGGCCACCAGGAGGGAAACGCAGTTGTAAACCGGCGATTTCCCCCCCTGCGCGTGAATTAAACGCGGTAAAGCCTCATTTTACGAAAATTATTTTAAACTTT